AAATAGACCAGCAGAAAACCTCCACATTCTTCATAGAGAAGACACAATATTAGGTAATGAAACTTGCTACTATTGTGAACATGTCAGTTCCCAAATACAGTGACCAGTGGTAGTCATTATCACAAGACTCAGTTCAATAGTGTTAAATAATTATTCCTTATTCAGTATGTCAATACTGTCTACATTAGATTCCACGTTGAATAGTGACTGCTAACCTCTATTGCAATGAAGTGTTTAGAAATCTCTCACAAGAATGTGAGAAATGAGGAAAATTGCTTTTATCTTTAATTTCTTTATGAACTATACAAAGAATGGTTAAGAATGTAGTGTGAGAGAGTAGGGACAAGACTGTAGTTGATGCAGAAGTTAAAAATTGCAACTGACTAGTCACATTTCGATGTGAAGAGAGGAGGAAGGAGAGTTAACCTTTGTACAAATTGCACAATATTGCAATCACTCAATGTCAATACCTACTTGTAGATGAGCTAAATCAGAGATAATAGAGTAAATGAAAGGGATTGGAAATGAAATCGTGGGCGTGGGCAAACCTCCATTCATTTATATTGTTGCTAAGTAAATAGAGAAGGGTTTGGATTTTTTGATAGATTTTGGAGCAAAAAATGGAGATTTTTTTGCCTTTTTTTTCTTGAATAACTTCAAGGGAATACAATTCATGCAAACAAAACTCACACAATATTAACCAATGTTTATGCTTTTCATTAATATTTTTTGTTCAGTAAATCAATGCATGCATTAGTAGCCGTGTCACTCTTTAACTAGAAAGAGCATCTTTTTCCCCTCTAAATACTCATTTTGTTCTTGAACTACGAATAAAGTATAACCAATTTAATTAGAGTTTGAAATTTTCTAGGGAATGAGGTACCTTGCATGTTGATTCCATGAAGCTTGAGTGTTTTTCGAATAGTAAAGTGTTTCATAAACAGGCAACTTTGTGTACCTCTAACTGGTTGCAAATGATTTAATAAGTTACGGCACGGGACGTCCCGTCCCATAGCCTTGCATAGCCTAAAATTCGGGACCGTAAATCGCACATTGCAACAATAAGTTTTTTATTCCGTGGTATCCTCTCCTTTTCTTTTCTTCGTAATCTAATGAGTAGGTGATGATGAAAACTAATGATGGTGATGTTAAATGAAATAGTAATGATTGACTAACTACTTAATTTGGCAATAATAATGAATTTTATTGATTAATATCAATTAAGGAGCCCATTTTGTAGCCAAACATGACAAATAGAGGGAGTTTTACTATTTCAGAGGTTGTGAATATCATAAAGTTGAAGTATGAAAATACCAATAAACCATACATTGGTGCCAAGGGAGGTGAAGTTTATCTTTTTTCTGCAGAAGACAAGGCTGTGAAGAAGGATGATTGGCAAAGTTAAGAATATCATTGGTATAACAATGGGGTCGCTAAGCTACCCAAAAGCAATCCCATTATCAAAGAAGCATTACTTCTACATTGATCTTCCTGAGGGTATGAGTAAGGAATTTCAGAGGCATGATTATCAGTCAAATTGCAACCGTCTGAATTTTGACAAGTTTTTTTGCACCGGAAGTGGGCGGTACCCATCAAATTCAATATGTTGCTCATTAATGAAGACTCACTGAAAAAAGGGAGCATTTTTAGTGTAGCATCTCTTCTGAAGATTTCTGCTGTACCATATCAGGTTAATAAGACATTTAGGTTGCTATATTTATTAATTTCTAGTTATTTTTTTCTTTTTTTCTTTTTAATAGCTGCCGTTTTGTGACAGCATGGGTCTTGTCATGTTGCCGGTGTTGTGTCATCGAGGCCCTGTAAGTCAAAGAGGAAGTCTGGGACACATTAAACTTTTACATCAAGTTCTCAGATGTTTTATCTACCATTAGTATTTTTACTAACTCTACAATGCTGTAAAAATGCAAGTGTGTCATTGTCATAGCTTAAGGCCTTTTTAAGTGTGTCATTATAAATGTAGCTAAAACAGCCTCATTACTTGAGTCAGCTAATTGTTAGAATGATAAGAAAACATGATAAAACTGAAAATACTATCTAAGTTATTAAATTAAGTATCAGGTATCATGATTTAACAAATAACTATACAATGTTATTGTCTCAATGATATATTGTCATTAATTAACTCTATATTTCTACACTATTGTGAATTTCTTCTTCACTATTTTCATTCTGCTCATTATCCTCACTTATGTCCACTGATTCGTCATTCTCTTCAAGGTTACTTGTGATATCATTATTACTTAATGTCATAGTATTGCTAAAGTCTTTGCATATGATATACAAATTGTCAACTTTTTCTATAATGAAATGAAATTCAGTTGTTTCAGTTACATACAAAGAAATTGTAGCAGCATGAGGACTGTGCCTTGTGAATAGACCTTGCCGCAGTTTTGGGGTTGCCCCACAACATACACAAGTTTGTAGTGTATTGTTCAATACAGTAATTGGTAGCCTTTATATCATATATTGTCAAAATACATGGACCTACTAAAGCTTGAAATGCTTTACAAATAATCATTAGACAGCTTAATAATTTCTTTAACACGGGATGATGCTATGCATTTGGGGTAATTACAATAATAGCATCTCATTTTTTGATTCCATTCTATAGGAGTAAGCTCTGGATTTGACCTGTGTCTCCTAGCTTCAATTTTATGTAAACAGCACAGACAACTATTGTTGGATATAGTACCATCATGATACTTCTTCAGATATTCCTGTTCTACTCTATTTAGCCTACCAAAATGGTCATATTTTAACTGTGTTTTACCACATATGAAGCAAGGTTTGCAGCTTTTGTGTCTATGGTAGCTAGGCATTTTACTACTTTCCATATTTCTTATGTGTAAAATATAATGTTATTGGGCGAAGCCCACTAGTTCGAGTAGAGTATGTTTGTTTGTTTGTTTGTTTGTTTGTTTGTTTGTACACGTACGTCACCCCAATTTTTCTGTATGAAAAATTTTCCTATCTTAATAACCTAATCTTAATCTTCTTTGAAAACGGGTGTGGTCATAGTGAAATAAAATGGCGCCAGCTATCAATTCTTCATTGTTCTCAGTTCATGTTCTTGACCTTATAAGTTACAAGTCACTGACTTGAGTCAGCAAAAATGCAAGAGAAGTCTCTACGACTTTCCAAATACAGCAAAGAAGATTAAGAAGGCAGATATGCCACAGTAGTGAGCTTGTAAAGCTTCCACAACTACTGACATAACCTATGACTGCAGTAACTGTCTCTGGCTTTCAACACAACTTTTTTGCTGCAGAATGTGATAAACTCATAAAGAAAATTGTATTTCCAAGCGTGATAACTTCATTACAAACTACTGTATTTACTCATGTACATGTACAATAATGTAGCTCTATACCATATAACCTTTAAAATATAGCGTGGCTAGGGGGCTGAGCCCCTTAATGTTTTACATTTGTCTAGTTATGTTATGTTTCTTGAAAATGTGATGATTTTACTGCACATAGTATAATCTAATGTAGCTAAGAGATAGTAGTCAGGACAACTGGGTATGTTCCTCTAGTGTACAAGCACATGTAATGGGAAGGATTTAATATGCTTTGGTTGTAGTGTGACTGTAAAAATGGGAGTGTGCCACCAAATTCCACAGCCTATTTAAAATATAGCCTGCAGCAGTATAGCTCTATACTTTTTTAACGTAAAGAAACCTGAGCTCAAAAAAAATAAACATGCACAGTCAAGCACAATTGTTTGCCACGTATAATTTGTGATACATCAAAGTATCATGCATAGAAAGAAAAAAGAACCAAAAATCATGAATATACAAAATTATTTATGAGTCAGTTGGGCATTAATTGTAGTTGCAAATAAACGGGTAGATTTCTTCACATTCCCTGACGGTTGCGGTTCGTCTGTTATCAGCTGCTGAATGATGACAAATTTACATCACTGCATTATGTGGGTGATGAGAAAGCAGCTACAAATTTTCCTCCAGGTCATATGAAGACTAACATTTGCAATTACAGTCGTACAGGTCCATCAACTATATCTTGTCTGAAGCAGTGTTGTTAGTGAAACACCCAGAAGGATATACAAAAGAGAAATTAGCACACCAACAGAAACATCTATTGAATTACAAAAAGTTACGTTGCCAAGAAGCATCAAGCCAGTCAGCAATTTAAGATATAAAGAATTACAACAATCTCAAATATCGCATGATTCCTTTTTTTACATCCATAAAATAGCATATGATATAAAAGATTTCGTGTCGAAATTGACCACTTATCCAGATTTAGTTTGTATTTTTGGGATGCAAAGACTTCTTTATCAACTAGAAAAGTTGCTTTATATGAGATGCGAGGGACAACTTTTAAGCTATGACAGTACATTTCAGCTAGGTGATTTTCACTTGTCAACTTTACTATTAAGGCATGTTATTTTTACTCAGAAGCCTTGCATTCCAGTCTTGTTCCTCATTCATAAAAGGAAGTTACAGCAAAGTCATGTTGATTTTTTCCAGATGCTAGAAACTCTCCCACCATCAATTGCAAATCAACATCAACACTTGTTTCAGACAGAGACGTCAATTGTTTCAGCAATAAAAAAAGTCCTTCCCAATCTACCTCTTGTTGATTGCTAGAACCATATATATTGAGAAGTCAAATTCTGTCTCTGTTCTCAACATGTAAAATCAAATTTAGTTGCATCTACTATAGCCCTCAGTATTTCTTATTGCATTAACCTAAAACTTTAGAGTAGTTTAACTAGTTTTACAACCTCATCGTAAGGTTAATGAAAATTTCATTTACTCTAATATTTATGGGTAAATTTAAATTATTCATCCAGTCACACCCACTTGGCTATAACTTCAAATTTTCAATTATTATTATAGATTAGAAATTATTTTTAAAAACAATGATAATCTTTTCAGTGATAATGATAATCTTTTTAATACTAATGATTAACTCAGTTTCCACTATTTCTTAAATCTGTCTTTTTCTTCTTTCTTCAAGAGGCTTGTCTAGGTGAGACAAACCGTCTGCTAAATTAAGAAGGTTTGCTACAAAAGAAGATTTCAACTATTTTGCTTTAGTTATTGATTTATACCTCTTCTTTTCCTTTTACACTTGCTTTTAGGTGTTGCAAAATCTTCTGCATATGAAGAAGAATTGTTTCATTTATTTCACCAGCCTTTAGAAGATAAGTATGGGGAAGTGTTGCAGGAAAAGAAATAACAATGGGATGCTAAATTTGAAGAATAGTACATAAAACATTCATCCACAGGTACTTCAGTTTTATAATTATGAATTGATGATATTATACTTATAGGATTGTCAAAGCATTGGTCGCTGGGTGCTTGAAGGTTTTCATTGCTATCATCCTTATAGTGGAGTTACCAACAATGCTTCTGAGTCTCTAAACCAAAGATCTGCAAAACCGGAAAGAGGCTCCTATTAATTCTGTGATACTCTCACTTCATCAGTTGCAATGTTCTTATAGCAATGAAATTAAGAGGAGTTTAGCTAGATTGGGAGAGTGTACACCAGAACCGTGCTTCTCAGATTTGAAGCTGCCTGATGTCAATTGATGTTTTACAAGGTCTTCTGAAGATATTGTATCTAGTAGTCGTAGAAATTTACTGTCTGATAAGGAAAATAAAACTGTTACAAAGGAGGAAGAGCTTCCAGAGGTTTCACAAGTAGCTCCCCAGTCTCAACAGATGCCTTTTTTAACAAAGAAGAAATGTGAGTCTGCTTTAGCAAGGGCAAAAGTTATTTTGGACAGAAACAAATTTAGTTTTCATGCAACGCTGCATATTTTTAACGACCTGGGGGCTAGCCCCCAGGTCGTTCCTATGATTGTTTTCACCCACGTGCGATGTTTGTATATATATATATTTGTATGTCCACACTTACATTTCTTCTATACACATTGTATTGGAGAAGTAACAACCTTAGCAACCATCCGCCCACGTGCCAACGTCAATTGGGTGTGGTCAATAAAACAAAATGGCGAGTCTGAACTGTATTTGGGATGATGCATCAGGACAACTGTACTTTCTAGCAGCCAAATAACACATTAGAGTTGACATCAGTCACACTAGGAGCTAATATCAACTAATGATAGCTGTGAAATGCAAGAGGTAAAATTATAATTAAATATTATGCTTTGTCACCATAATAGCAGGAACTCTGGAATATAAGCTATAAGCTAAGGAAGATATTACATACTGAAGGAATTATAATCTATTGAATTTCATAGTTGGGACTCATGATCCACTAGTGAAGCCATCACACATGCCTTAAATTATAGTGGTGAACTTGACTTAACTATAGATATTGTCTCAGATATATATTTGGTGAATAAATAAGTGTTTTATACAGTATATAGTTGTTAATAATATTATTTGTTCAGTGGTTATTATTGTTGAGAATGATAAGTTCTATTATATCTAATAGCCTTTCTATTTGGCTATTTACAGTTTGCTGTCCCTGC